GGCGCCGTGCTGTTGCTGTTGGGCAACGCGTACGCCGCTGTTGGGGCGCTGAACATAGTCGTCACCGGCAACAGATTTAGTGACGCGCTGCTCAGTCCGGAGGGTGTGTTTCCGCCGCACACGAACATCACGATCAGCGGGAACCGCTTCACGGTCACGAGGCCGATCCCTCGGCCGGGTTTGGAACTTGACTGCCCGTCGTGTGTTGCGATGAATGGACTGGTGATCAGCAACGACTCCGCGGTGGTGCTGAGTGGCAATGTGTTTCAGAGCGTGACGACATCGTCAAGCGCCATTTACGTTGTTGGATCTGCGCTGAGGGTGTCGTGGCACTCCGTGTTTGCGGTGGTGGGCAACACGTTTCACATGGCTGGCGGTGACGGTACGCTGATACATCTTGAAGGACCTAGATACTCCTCATCGCTGTGTGTACTGAACAACTCTGCCGTGGTGATTCGAGGCAACGCTGTGACGAGGCCGGTGAAGTGCTTCGTGTTACTTATTTGGACCTTAGACGTGGAGTCCCATTCAGCGGTTGTGTTTCAGGGCAACGAGATGCAGGGAAGCTCGGTTGTGTTCTATTCAAGCGACTCCTCCAACATCTACTACAACTCCTGGCTGCAGTTGAGCGGCAACCTCTGCCGTGAATCCCCATCGGAAGCGTTTGCCTTTCTTTATCCCAAAGTGAATCTCCGCGACTCTACGGTGTCTGTGTCCGGCAACCAATTCGTGTCCAGCACGGTCTCGCCGACAGTGCTGCTGATACCTCAAAGTTCCCGCGATCTCACGAACGGAGCGATTGTGGCTGCGTGCAACACCGTGAACGACAAGGAGGGAGTGAAATACATCATTTCCTCCGTGTACAATGCCACCATTCTGACCTGCAGCGACCCATGCACCCTCGCGGCGTCGTGCTTCCCTGCGTACACGACGACGGCCTCGAGTGAAGGCTGCGCCTGCGCCTGCGCTGAGGGCGGCCACGGCGATGCGTGCCTGCCCGTTGCTGTCCCCGAGCCGCCGGGCACCGACGGCGCCGACTTGTGCGTGCGGGACGTGCGTGTGGGTGTGGAGGTGAACGTCAGTTTCGGGACGTCGGTGGCGTGCTACGTTGGTGTGACCTTTGCGGCGGACGTCGTGGTGGACGTGGAGTCGATGTCGGGGAGCGTGCGCAACGTGACGCTGGTGAACTGCCTGTTTGTGGACGGAGCGAGCCTGTACGTTGTTGGGTGGCGGTCCGACCCGACTGCTGGCGAGCACGTTGATGTGTTGATCAGCGGGCTTGAGTCGCGTTCCGGCGGCGGCGTGGTGGTGGCGAACCGATTTCCGCCGGGCTCGCGCGTCACTGTGGTGGACTCGGTGCTGATTGCAGAGGCGCGTGTTGCGTACCGCGGCGCCTACGGCCTTGGCGACGCGTCCGCATGCCTCGTGGTGCACAACGTGAATCTGACTGGGAGCGTGCTGACCATTGCGCGCGCGCATGTGGCGGCTGTGTTCCGTGACGCTGTTGGCGTGTTGTTTGGCGGCGTGGCGCTGTCGTCGCGCGGAGCGCTGTACGTGGACGGGCTGTTGGTGCAGACGGCGCTGGGGCTGTGCGTGTCGGTGGAGGGCGGTGTCGCGGCCAGCGGCGGCTCCGTGGTGGCGTTTCTTGACAGCGACTTCCTGCTGTGCAAGCACGCGGTGTCTGTGCGTGGGGCTGTGAGCGTGTCGGGCTCCGCTGTGGCGCTTGTGCGGAGCGAATTTTCGTCGACGGGGGACTACGCGGTGGCGTTCTATTCGACGGTGAGTCTGGATGGCGGGTCGATGCTGCTGGCGAAGGACAACGTGCACGACGGCGTCTCGAGGGAGATGCTCTACGCCGCTGGCGCTGTGACCGCTGCTGGGAGCACGCTGAGCTTTGTGCGCAACCGAGCGCTGCTGCCGCGGATGCTGTCGCTGAGCCTGTTGCTTGCGGCTGGGGCGCATTTGAGGGTGGCGTGCAACGACGCTGGTGGACGTGTCCTGTCGACGGCGGAGGAGTACGCTGCGGCTGGTTTTGGCGACGCTGGGAGCATCGACGTTGCTGGGTGCGACGACTGCGACAGGAACACGCACTGCTACGCGCCCGGGACGGCGTCGGTGAGCATGAGGAACGGTGTGTGCGTGTGCGCGTGCGGCAGCGGTGGGTACGGCGAGGCGTGCGTGCCGGTGGGAGCTCCCGCACTGCCGTCTGCTGTGGGCAAATGCGTCGAGTGTGTTCTTCCGCGAGGGCGTGA